GTGCGGTGTGGATCGGGGTTGTGAGTGTTACGAGAGACATACCTGGTGCTGAAGCGAGCGACATTGGTCGCCATATGCTCGTACTTCGGGAACGCTGTTTTGATGTCATCTTTCTGCTTCGTAGTATAGGTTAGATAGGATCTGCCACCTGTAGTCTGGGCGCCGAGCGCCAATAGGATATCAACTCTGGTTCGTAGTTGATGATGATGGGACAACTTCAGCATTGTCAATTTTGAACTCTTGGTGTGTTCTTATTTGGTGTATCTCGTGATGCCAGTCTGCTGTGGTTCGAGGTCAAGACTATCTGGGCTCATATGTATGATGCTGTTTGATTGCTGAAGTTCGCTAATGCTCATCTTTCTTGCACTGGCTTTACAATGACAATAATAAATAACTATGAAAATCAAAGCTGAAACGGCCAGGCCAAGGGGTGAACCAACGCACGGTATTCTGAGTCGAGTGCTGGTGGCTGGGGTTCGAACGAGGTCACTAACAAAATAAGTTTAGACCAGCAGTGCCGCAAAACCTATAACCTAACTCGTCAACCCTAAACCCTAATCAGAATGACCTTGGGATTAGACATCCCAAAGTACACAATGTACTTTTGTACACTGCGGGCAACATCCACGCGCGCATTGGGACTCGCTCCACTACTCGCCAATCGTGCAAAATGAGAATGAATATTCCGCTAGAACATGGAAAGATACATCGCCATTTTTTATTTTTATTTTTGTGCATGTTGCACGAGTAGTGGAGCGACACCCATTATCCCACACACCATACAATTCCATACAGTGCCGTAAATGCCAGCCTGGTGCCACACCTTTCACTGGGGACCACCATCCCTGTCCTTCTCAGGGGCTGCGACCTTGCTGCACCACTGCCCCGCTGTACACCCTGGTGCCATTGAAGGGCCCTATAATGAATGCAGCAGACACCTACACCCAGCTGGAGCCACCCTATCCACAAGGGCGATGGGTCAGGTCTGGGTCCCGCAGAGACAGCTTGGGCGGGTCACAGCTGGGTCTAGCTAAGTTGGCCTGGCCGGGTGATGGACGTACGACGCTTTAGCCTGGCTCACCCGACGGGTGGGTGTTGGGTCACCCAGACATTGGCCTGGGTTCGGCGGGATAGGCCTTGGGCTGGGTTACCCGACCGAGGCAGACCCAGGGCACCGTGGCACGCCGACCCCCTCCCCCCCAACTTACCACATACCGCCAGCAGGTCCACCACCAGCAAAAACAAGAAAATTGCCCTCCGCTTGACCTTCAGAGGCTCCGGCCTTTGACTGTTCCCGACAAACCAAAAACGAGGAAGTTGTGCCAGCCCGCACAGTGCACGCCCAAAAAAAAGGATTTGTGGCCTAGAGCATCTGACCCTGAAAGTGGAAAGATGCACTCGCCGACTGCAAACTCCATCCCAGTTTTGTGTTGCTGGCAATTCGCGAACCAGGCAGCAGGCACGGGTTAAGCAGCAAGTCCAGGACACTAGCAGCAGCAGCAGCACACACTCCGCGCAATTGCCATCCAAAAACCCAAACTGCGAATAGCCGACCCGGGCTACCCCTAGGACAGACAGGCCCTAAGGGCCTACGCTGATAGACGGTCCTATAGCCTATAGCCGGGTAGGGAGAGGCCGATACTGAAACGGTACCGGTCAGTCCTACCAGTCTGGTCTAGGTCGTGTCTAGGCTAGTCTACTCTAGGCTAGAGTAGACTATGTATAGGATGAGAGAGATTGTTCGGGGCTTTTGGCAGTTGGTACCGTGTACATCGCTGCTGCGCAACGCAGAAACTGGAAGTGGTGACAGCTTCAGCGTTGGAGAAGACGGACATAGCTGGACCTGCGGAGTGTCGGCCATAGCTGTGACCGACGCTGGACTTTGACAGCACGCGGGCCTGTTCAAAGGTCTGAGCTATCTGGAGTCTGCTGGAGGCGAGAGAAGTTGGTGCCCTGCTGAACCCTCCTCAGGAGTAGGGTTTCAGGGTGTGTGTGGCTGCAGCCATAACTGAAGCCTTCTTCCTCAGAGCTCATCTTTGTCAAGAGAGGTGGCGCTGCTACAGACTTCCACTCGGGAAGTCCTCTGCCACTTCATCATCATCAGATACTGTGGCGCTGGTCTTTCTTCCTCATCCTCTGAGCTTTCTTCTTCATCCTCTGAGAGGCGCTTGGCCTCAGAGGCCTGTTTCAGGGTGGCCCTTCCCTCTGGAGGCAGTCTATGGGCGGCGCTTGATGTTTCAGGGACTCAGGGGTAGTAATAGCCGTTACTCAGGGTTGGGGAGTGAAGCGCTGCTCACTTCTGAGCAGTGCACCATGGTTCTGCGATTATTCTGACAATTCGAGACCCTGATGAGTTTAATAACCAATAAACACTGTAAATACTGTGGGTGAACTATCATTGTTTCACTGTTTCGTGGATGTGATCTACTCGGCTTTCCTTTGTGACTGGTTGTGAGGATTCTGTGGAGCGAATTGCACTTTCAGTGTTTTCTGTCATATTGGACAAGTCTTCCGCTGTGCGGTGTGATACTCCCATCCTCTCCCCTTCCTTCTGTGTATGTATGGGCATACTTGGAAGTCTATGTGAGCGAGGAGTGTTGGTCTGCTGACAACAAACAACCAGGTTCATAACAGTTTAGTCACAGAAGGGCCTACCTCAGTTCGTACACCCATGAACTGTGGAAATACAGACGGAGGCTCGAATCCAGATGGAAGCATAGGAACAGAATAAAACAATCCTGAATTAAAAAAAAACAAAAACAGAACAAGGAGTTCCACACCTATTCAATCATGTCTTTTTTTTCTTCTTCATCTTCTCTGTTATCATCCTCGTGTAGCGGCCGTGCTAATCTTCTCTGTATCTGATGTCCAAAAAGAAAAAAAGAAAAAAAAAAAGTGCCGTTCCAATTGTCCCGAAGAACTGTCGAATCATTTCGTGTGAAGTGCTGTTGAGGAAAAAGCGGGGACCACACGACGAATTTTCTTTTTCTTTTTCCCAAGTGTTTTTCTGCGATTCGGGCTGGCGACAATTTGCTTCAATGTAATCAGTAATTACTTTTAATTAAATGAATTTAAATCAGAATAATCCCATGCCGAATGTCAGTTCATTTTGGTCACATTCATTCAAAAGTTTTCCCCAACAGTTTTGCTTAGCCAGCGATGCCTCACAACAGCCTCAATCACAAAAACAATCACGCATGAAATCAGAAATTACAAAAAAAGAAATTAAGAAAAAAAAAACACAAAAAAAGAAAAGAAAGAAAAGAAAAGAAAAAAATTCTAAGAGAATCAACAACGGAGCGAAAAGAAATGAGAGGCAGTTGATCCCATCCAAGTAAACGGAACGAAACGGAACGGAAACGAACGAAACGAAACCGAAACGAACGAAACGGAACCGAATGAAAAACGGAAGGACTCCGAAGGAGTTTCACCATAGGCAGAGAGGGACAAGAGGGAGAAGAGGACAAGAAACGAGGGGCTGTGACAAACTGTTTCGTCAGAGTTTCACTGACTTACTCATCAGGAGGTGGTGGGGACCACCAACCACTGGGCCCTCAACAGTCTGCAGAATCCCCTAACTCCCCTAACTGATTACACACTGTAAGTGATAATCCACCTTAACCCTGGTTGTGGTTAAGCATCAACGACTGCCGGACAACTGATACCCCTCTGAGGTGGTGGGGACCACCAACCACTGGGCCCTCAAGGTACCTGTGACGAAAATCAAAGCAGACTATCACCCACCCACACCACAAGTCGCATAAAAGGAAAAGGACGTATTCGACGCATACCAACACGCGGATCAATCATTCACTGATAAATCATGAATATCAATCATCATTCCTTTTTTCCACCGAAAAATACGGAAAAAAAAATGATCCAAAAATACGGAACATGATATGCTAGAATCCGTAAACGACTACCAAAGTCAGAAAATCCGGTAGGAAAAAAAAAAAAAAAAAAGACGAAAAATCGATTCAGAAACCGGTGAATCCCACAAAACTGAACCAAAAAAACGCCCAAATTTGTCATCGGGCAGAGAAAACTCATAGCATCTCCTAACATAAAGATTTCTCAATTGATACAAAAACCCATATACCAAAAAAACAAACAAACAAAAAAAGACATACAGATACATATGCCTCTGACATGTACGAGGCACACAAGCACAACATAAAAGGTTTAAGTCGAACAGCTGCACACGCAACACACACGACGCCAGACCTATTAACAAGGAGGGAAAAATGTGGAAACAACAAAAGGAAGTAGGAAAAAAGAGAGAGAGAGAGAGAGAGAGAGAGAAAGCGATTGAGAGAGAGAGAGAAGAGAGAGAGAGAGAGAGGGAGAGAAACGACAACGACGGCAGCCGGCTTTTCATTATTTGCTTGTCGTTCTCTAATTTTTCCTTTCTCTTTCTTACATGTACATACTTTCATACACGTACATACACGTGTGTAATTTCTGCCTCCTCCGTGGAGAAGCCGATCCAGATATTCAAGATGATTATTCAGACAAACTATGCGGCATTGCATGCCTGACATAAGAGAGCGGTTTGAGCCCATGCCCCACCTCCAGGCGGATTGAACCCATGGCAGACCCCATGTCTAGCGTGTCTGTACCCGGTAGGCCAGGGTTCAACTGCGCAGCGAAGCGAGAAGAGTACCGGAGGAGACTTACTCAGGGTTTACCCTGGCC